GGGCGTCACGCGCGCATGTCGAAATCTGTCGAACGCCCTTGCGCGTGTGCCGTCGCGAGAATCCTCTGCAAAACATGGGACAAAGTGCAGACGCGCGCGCCGTCGCGCGCGTAAGCCGAAATCCTTCAAAACCCACTGGTTTCGGAAGGACTTCAAAATCGCGCGTCCAAAAAACCTACAAAAAACACAAGGTTTCGCAACACGGATTTTCAACAAAACCGTGCGCGCGCGCTCTTGCGGCGTCGTCGTCGTCGTCGTCGCCGTCCTCCCTCCTCCCGCGTCGTCGTCGTCGTCGCCTACGTCGTCCTGTGTCGTTCCTCGTGTTCGTCGTCGTCGTCCTCTTTGGCGACGTCTCCGTCGTCGTTGTCGCCGTGGTCGTCGTTCCTCCTCCTCCCTTGTCGTCGTCGTCGTCGTCGTCGTCGTCCGTCGTCGGCGTCTCGTCGTCGTCCCTCCTATTTCGTCGCCGTCGTCGTCGTCTCGTCGTCGTTTTCCCTCCTCCCTCGTCGTTGTCGTCGTCGGCGTCGCCGTGTTTCCTCCTTCTTCGTCGTTCCCGTCGTCGCCGTCCTCCCTCCTCCCTCGTTGTCGTCGTTGTCGTCGTTGTCGCCGTCGTCGTCCTCCCTCCTCCCTCGTCGTCGTCTTCGTTGGCGACATCGTCGTAATCTTCGTCGTCGTCGTCGGCGTCGGCGTCGTCTTCGTCGTCGTCGACGTCGGCGTCGTCGTCGCCGCCGTCGTCGTCGTCGTCGTCGTCGTCGTCGGCCGTCTTGCTTCTCCGGCCTTCTTGGGGCGCTCTAGAGACGCCCCCGAGGGCTCCAAGACGACCCCGGAGCGATATCTGTGCTCGGTCCCGCATGGGTTTTGCAAACCAAGTTGCAAGTGGGTGGGTGGGATGATTGCGCGAGCAGTGGAGTTGACAACTTCAAGTTCGGCAAACGAATTCTCCTTTCTAAAAAGAAAATAAACTCTATCCCCCCCGGAATTATCGCCCCCCCTTTCGGGTATGTAAATCACATATGATTATGACCACTTGTGCATCCTAAATATGAAATCGCAATGTCCCAGGCCAACCGGCATCCCCCCCTGAGGCCCCCTTGTTAAAAAACACTATGCGGTGGCATTTTCTGTTCTGGCATAACGCTTTGTTCCATGAGCCCCTTGCAAAAATAAGGCGAAATGCGCACGCGCGCGTCGTCGCGCGCGCATGCCGAAATCCTGCAAAAACCTTCGGTGCCGGACGGATTCCGCAATCGAGTTCCCAAAAGACATACAAAAACACAGGGTATCGTAACACTGACTTGCTAAAAAAGCGTACGCGCGAGCTCTTGCGACATCTTAAGAGAACCATTGGTTTCTCAAGATTTTCACAGCATGCTACCAAACGGGCGTCGCGCGCGCGCATGTCGAAATCTGTCGAACGCCCTTGCGCGTGTGCCGTCGCGAGAATCCTCTGCAAAACATGGGACAAAGTGCAGACGCGCGCGCCGTCGCGCGCGTACGCCGAAATCCTTCAAAACCCAACCTGGTTTCGGAAGGTTTTCAAAATCGCGCGTCCAAAAAACGTACAAAAACACAAGGTTTCGCAACACGGATTTTCAACAAAACCGTGCGCGCGCGCTCTTGCGGCGTCGTCGTCGTCGTCGTCGTCGTCGCCGTCCTCCCTCCTCCCGCGTCGTCGTCGTCGTCGCCTACGTCGTCCTGTGTCTTTCCTCGTGTTCGTCGTCGTCGTCCTCTTTGGCGTCGTGGTCGTTTCCGTCGTCGTTGTCGCCGTGGTCGTCCTTCCTCCTCCTCCCTCGTCGTCGTCGTCGTCGTCGTCATCCGTCGTCGGCGTCTCGTCGTCGTCCCTCCTATTTCGTCGCCGTCGTCGTCGTTGTCGTCGTCGTTGTCGTCATCGTCTTCCCTCCTCCCTCGTCGTTGTCGTCGTCGGCGTCGCCGTCGTTCCTCCTCCTTCGTCGTTCGCGTCGTCGCCGTCGTCTACCCTCCCTCGTCGTTGTCGTCGTTGTCGTCGTCGTCCTCCCTCCTCCCTCGTCGTCGTCTTCGTTGGCGACGTCGTTGTCGTCGTCGTCGTTGTCTTCGTCGTTGTCGGCGTCGTCGTCGTCGTCATCGTTGTCGTCGTCGTCGGTGTCGTCGTCGTCGTCGTTGTCGTCGTCGAAGTCGTCGGAGACGTCGTCGGTGTCGTCGTAGTCGGTGTCGGCGTCGCCGTCGTCGTCGTTGTCGCTGTCGTCGTCGGCGTCGGCGTCGTGGCCAAATGCCATGTGGTTTCTACCGTCACGGTCTTGTCTTAAGAGGTCTTGCGACCAAGTTGCGGTTGGGAGGGTGGGATGTTTGCACGAGCAGTGGAGAGGACAACTTCAAGACGGTCAAAGTGGATTGCACCGCATACATTGCACCGCATACATTGCATTCCATAGGTTGCAGCGCGTAAATTGCACCATATAGGTTGCACCGCATAGATTTCATTTCAAAGGTTGCACCGCGTAGATTGCACCACATAGATTGCACCGCATATTTTGCATTACATAAATTGTATCGCATACATTGCACCACATGGATTGCACCGCATAGACTGCACGAACGTACTGTTTGGGGCCCACGCTGGCTAACATTTGAATTCTGGGGTAACTCAATTCTGTAGTCGTTCTCCTACTCGAGTCTAGAACTACTTGGGGGTGGGCGGGCCCTGGCGGTGAACAAGGCGCCACGCGATGGCCGCCTTTGCAGCCTCGCTCCCTGCGGAGCCCTGCTGCCGGCGCGCGATCCGCAGTGTAGCGGCCCGAAAATCCGCAGGATATGTGGCGCCCAAACGGGATTCAGTCAACGTCCACCGGTTTGGAGACGTTCACCCGGGAATCTCGCGGAGCGCTGAGTTAGGACAATTCCCACCCTCAAGAGACGAGACCCTCGCGGGCACGTCTCCAAATTGGTCGACATGAGTAAACCCCTGACGTGGACGGAGAAAGGCTCGGGGTGACCGAGGTGCGGCAACATCGATATAGCAGAGCACCACAATGCTCCGTCCTCGGCCTCCTCTTCTCTTCCTTCTGCTCTTCCCCATCCTCCATCCCTCTTCCTTGTAAAGAACTCCTCCCTGTCGCACCCCGGGGACGGGTCGGTAGGGCGGCCCCGGCATTTCGACTGAGACTTTCTCACAATTCTGATCCTCACGCTTGACATTTACATTAGCTTCAAGAATCGAGGGCCGGTCGTTCTCTAAGTGTGGCTCTCGCCTAAGGGCCGCGTGCAGTCGTCTTCAAATATCGCGCAATAACTTCACGGATACAGGGTGGGGCGTTTTCAAAATACGGGTTTCGCATTAGCTCTGCGTGCATTCGTCTTAGAAGTTTGAAAGAATTTCGCGGATGGAGGGCGGGTTGTTTTCAGTATCTGGCTCTCGCCATGGCGCCGCGCACATTCGTCTTAAACGTTTGCAAGAGCTTCACGGATGGAGGGCGGCTCCTTTTAAGATTGTGGCAATCGCCTTCGCGCCGTGGACATTCGTTTTGGCAGTCTGCAGCATCTTCAAATATTCTTATGGTTGACGACCCAGAGATGATGTCCTGGTACGATTTAGGATTGACAAAGCGCGACGAGCACGTTGAGTCTTGGTGTTGGCGTCCCGGAAGTGTTGTTCTGGCTGGATTTAGTAAGCGTTGATTCGCGGCGTGGAAGTCTCAGGGTTGGTGCTCTGGCACGGTTGAATGTTTTCATCTTCCCGCAATGGAGATCAATCCGTGTATGAGCCTATGAAAAGGGAACGTGGAGGGAGGGTCGGTTGTACTTTTGTTGATGAGTCGTGGGTTTGCACTGGTCCTCCTCTTCCTCTTCCCTCCTCCTCTGCCCTCCACCTCGCCACCTCCTTCTCCACCTTGTCCCCTCCTCCTCCTCCTCCTCCTCCTCCTCCTCCTCCTCGTGCCCATCGTTGATGTCCTTCCCCCATCACGTTCCCCCTTCTCCTCCTCTCCATCTGCTCCTCTTCCTCTTTCCCCTCAGCCTCCTCCTCTTCCCCCACTTCATAAAATCATCTTCCCTCCCTCCCAGAAAGCTTTCCTGATCCCTTCACACATTCCTCCTCCTCCTTCTCCTCCTCGTTTCCCATTCCCTCTTCCTCTTCTTCTGTTTTTTTTTCCTTCTCCTCCTCCTCCTCCTCCTCATTTCCCTTCCTCCTCCTCCCCACCCAACCGCTGCTCTTCATTAGCCTGTTCCGTCCATCCTCTCCTGCCGCTGATGCTGCTACTCGCCTTCCCCTGCACCCTCTCCCTTCCTCTACCGCTGCTCTTGCTGCTGCTGCTGCTCAAGCGCATCCGCATCCGCTTCCTCCGCAGCCTCCCTCCTCGCGTTCTCTTCCCCAGGAGGGCCCGCGCGGCAAGAGACCCAGACCTCTGGCGACCTGACTTTGTTGCGGCGACTCCCTCGGGACCAGCTTATCATCCGGGGTCGTTCTGGTGTTGCCAAGCGCGTCCCAGCCCCAAGGTGTCCCCAAGACTTCCGCTGAGGCCCAGATGGCCACCAGAGCACCCCTCAAGAGGCCCAGAGAACCCCGGCTCCAGAACGGCGGGAAACACCGTGTGACCGTTCTTCCAGGCACACCTTTGGCAACACACGGGCCGCTGGCGGCGCGCACAGGGGGGGTAGGGGAAAAGGGGAAGGCTTCTTAGAAGGAGCCTGCTTCTTAGAAGGCGCGGGCGTGACATCTACATGCAAGGCCCACGTCTTATGAGAAGCAGGGGTGCTTCGAAGACGCCTGCCCCCTCCCCCTACCCCCCTTTGCGCGTGGCCGACAGGCACACCTTTGGCAACCCACGAGACGTCTTTGACGGACCTGGGACTCAGAGACTGCCCCGAAGAAATCTGGAGGTAGGAAAGGGGTGTGGCACAAGGGGTGTGGTGCCAATCGTGGAAATGGAGATGTCAGCATTGGCACCGCACCCCTTTATGCCACACCCCTTTCTCCGACCTTCAGAAGAAACGGAACGTGGCGAGGAGCCTCCCAGTGCGGCTGGGGGCGCCTTCGACGTGCCGACGAGCTCGCCGCCCTCCTTGATCTGGGGGCAGGTGGACTTCGTGTGTCCTCCCCGCCGCCAGTTCTCGCTGCTCGCCGCGGCCTGCTCCACTTCCACCTCTCCCTCCTCCAGTTGGTGACCACATGCGAGCCCTACCCCCGCCCCCCACGATTTCTGGGGGGGGGGTCATTTCGCTCGGGAGCTCACGAACGAAGTGAACCCCCACCCCCGCTTAGAGATAGTATGTGGTCACCGGTCCATCCACCTAAGCCCCCTCCTTCTTTTCATCCCCAACTCCTCCTCCTCCGCTTCCTCCTCCTCCTGCCAACAACAACACGGCGAAGCGAGGGCTGCATCCCGTCCGTAAACAAGAATCGCTGGTTCCAGAATCGCAGCTTGCCCATGGTTGCAAAACGAACACATCACATTGGAGCACATCGATTTCAGACTGCACAACATAGATTGCATCACAATTGAACCAAATGGGTTGGGCCTAAATATTGCACCACATTGAGTGCACCACATAAATTCCTGCTACTGAAGAGGATTAGACAAGATCTCCATGCCGAGGCCGGACTTAACCGCCCCCCTCTGGATCCCTCTTGGACGCCTGTTGGTTTCAAGGTGTACCTCGGGTCTCCGGCGGCCGTTCGGAACGAACCGGGCAATCCGGGAATACTCTCGACGAGGCGCAGCCGCTGGAAAGCATCCCGAGGCGAGAAAGGACGCAAAACAACACAAAACAACGAAGGCTTTCCCGCCCCCTGATCCTCACACCAGCTCGGCTCGTGGGCACCTCCCCGAGAGAGGGGGGGCGAGCCACGACCTGCAGGCACGGGCTGGCCACGCAGAGGAAGGGCAACGCCACAGCATCATGCTAGAGCTGGCCTGGCGTCAAACGGTCGCCGTGCCTTCTGGGGCCGAGACCGTCGCGGTCGGCGTGACCGTGGTCGCCGCTGCTGCCGTGGTCGCGGTCGTCGTCGGGAGTCGTCGCCGAGGTCGGGGCCCGTCCGGCAGCTGCTGCGATGGCTTCGGTCGCAATGACTGTGGCGGCTGCCCCCCCCCTTCTGAACGACTGCAGCACGGTGCATGTCCCCTCCCTGCCTCCCACCCCATTCCCCTCCTATTCTGATTGCTTCTTGGAGTATACTCCCACTCTGCAACGACACCGGCCGATAGCAACTCAATATGGGTGGTCCCATCCTATATGTTAGAATCCATGCGCAAGCAATGAATTTCGCTTCAACGTGGACGTCTGTCGTTCACGTTGCCAAACGCGTGGCAAGGACGGGACGGAACGCACATCCCGCGCGAACAAAAACAACGTCGCTCTCGCCTCGGCGCCGCGCTCATTTTTCAGGAAGATTGGGCTCCCGCCCGAGCACGGCGACATCCTTCGCGAGCATCTTCGTCGACGCGCGAGCGGGCGAAAATGGCGCTCCCGCCTCGGCGGGGCGCATGGGTTTCACTCGCCAATGATCTGGGGCCCGCGCGGATGGGCGATTTGCCGCCCTCGCGATAAAGCCCCGTGTGCATTTTGCTCGGAGGTGGCATCCTGCGCGGGCGCAGTGCGTCTCATATGCTTCGTCTTCGCCGCACCCGTCGGAAGTTTTGCCGCCTCCGCCCCTGCGCGGCCCGCGAGCTTTCCCCTCCGCCAAGTCGTCGGAAGCGGGGCCGCGCGCGAGCGCCTTCAGCTTGCGAGGTGCGAGCGCGCTCCAACCCAATGTGAAGCTGTGCCACACTTGATTTTTATGTTGCAGGGGTGAGGGTGGGAATGGGAGAGGCCGTCTGACTCGCTCGACCTGGCTAATTTCTAATTTGACTCCTACTCCTTCTCCTGTTCCTGTTCCCCTCCTCCTGCTCCTCCTCCTCCTGCTCCTTCTGTGCATCATCAATTCCTCGAACCCAAGCCGGCGTCCCAACTGTTGGCACCGGTCGCACTTCATGAGGACCGGGGCCCGGCAGTCTGGGTGAGCGAATATGCAGTCGGGCATGATGCAGTCCTCAGGCAGGCGCAGGAGTAGAAGGAGAATGCGGGGGAGGATGAGAAGAAGGATGAAGGAGGAGAAGGACGGGGAGAATGAGGATAAGGAGTATGATGAAGATAAGGATGATAAGGTAAGGATGGAGAGGGAAGGGGATACAAAGAGGGGAGAGGGAAGAGAACGTCCCTCCTTGTCCTCCTCCACCTCATCCTTCCTGCCTCTTCCTGCCTCTTCATCCTCTTTCCTTTCGCGCTCCCGAGCGCGGGGAGGGGGGGGGGGGGGCAGGAGAGGGAAGCAGGGAGAGGACGAAGCAGGAAAAATGAGAGGTCGGGAGAATTTGGAAGGATTCGCCTTCTCTGTGGTCCTGGAGAGGGGCTCCAGCGACTGAAGAACACGTGCGGAAGGAGGGCAACGACGAGGGAAGCAGGGGGAAGGGAGGAGGAGGACCGATGGTGATGAGAAGGGGAGGACCACCACTGGAGGAAGAAGACACGTGTCGAGGAAGAACCAAATGGCGAGCTCATTCCCCTCCCACTTATTCCCTCACTCCCTCCCTCCCTCTTCCCTGGATGTTAGCCACCGTGGATCCCAAAGAGTGTTTTAGCGTACTTGGTGCTGCAACCTATGTGGTGCATGCAACCTATGTGGCGCAAAGTGTGAGGTGGAAGCTGTGGTACAGTCTACGTGGTCCAAGCTATGTGGTCTAAGCAAAGTGGTGCGTGCTACGAAATCCAGAATATGTGGCGTGAGCTATGTGGTGCAAGCTGTACGGTGCAGTGCATGTAGTCGTAGCTAACGCTCTCATCGCCGCCGTGCAACTTATGTATGTGGTGCGACCTATGGGGTATGAGGTATGTAGTGGCATCCCGGTGGTGTAATAGATGTGTTGCAGGCTAGGTGATGCCACCCATGTAATGCCATCGCTGGCGTGCGAGCCACGCGGCGCAATCTACGTGATGAGAGCTACCGTGGTACAGTAGATGCCGTGCGATATGTGTGGTGTGAGTTGCGTGGTGTAAGCCACGTGGTGTAAAAGATGTGGCGCAAGCTATGTGATGCAATTCATCACGCCGGAATTGAAATTGTCGATTTCGCTTCTCGCACAGTCAGCTCACCCACCAACACCGAAGCCCAGGTTTGCAAAACCCGTGCGGCGGCGATTGCGATGACCGCTTGGCGCTAGCTGGCGCGTCGCTGCTGCCGTGCTATCGTGCGCAGGTTCGCGCGCAGAGCGGCCAACTCGTCTTGCGCGACCGACTCGGCCGCGGTGGCGGCGCTGAACGCAGGGCACATGCCAGCACGTCTCGCAGGCCGCGCTGACGCTCGGGCACCTCAGTACGAGTCGGTGGCTCGGGCGGGCGCAATATCATGGCGACGCAATAATCGTGGTGACAGTGGTGGCGATCATGGCCATTACGGCGGCATTGCCAACAACGGCGCCGATGTTGATCACGCCTATGACGATGATGGTGTCCACGTCTCGGTGAGGATGGTTTTGGGAGGAGTTCGGGAAGCGCGTCTGGCTGACGGTGGTGAATGGCCCGCATGGTTTTGCGTCACTCACTGCGCCGCTGGGCTCTTCGGCCTCGGTTCAATTCCACCCGTCGCCCCTTCCGAACGAAAGGGCCCGTGCAAATTGGCGCGGGCTACGCACAGAAGCATCAGAAACCCTGTGCAACAGACAGCCTCTGACAGTAGTGCGAGATGGCACACAACACATAAGTTTCAGAAAGGACAAAGCGGGAACCGACGGAAGAGGAGGGTGAAGGAAGGGAACCTCTGAACCGCCCGAAACATAGGAAAACATCGCTGTCGACGTGGCTCTCGGAGTCGCCACAACCGTTGCCAGCCCAGACCACGGTCCCGAGAGAAGCGGGAACTACATCTGCGCCACGATAGTGACGTGCCGAGACGCGGAGGGAGTGACCCTGAGCAGGAGAAGCGGAGAAGGGAACCAAAGCTGAAACTACTGCTGGCAACGAGGTCGCAATGTGCCGGCCGCCCTCGCGCACGGGCGGCCTCGAGGGTCGCACCGAGCACGGAGGGCAACGGCAACCACCTGCAACAATTCCTGCCCGACACCCCGCCGGAGGAGGAGGAGGAGGAGGAGGAGGAGGAGAAGGAGGAGGAGGAGAAGGAGGAGGGAGGAGGAGGAGGGAACAGGAGGAGGAGAAGGAGGAGGAGGAGGAGGAGGAGGAGGTGCCCGGGGAACAGGGGGGAGAGGGCCGCGGGGCGAGGCCGAGGGTGGCAAGGCTGGCAAGCCGAAGAGAAAGGGCCCCAGGGCGTTCCTTTGTGCCGAGCAGCGGCGCGCCTGGACCAGGGGGCAGCTCGCCGCGGCGGCAAACCGCGGCAGCGGGAGCGGAGAAGCGGGTCTGAACTCCGAGTCTTGAACATCGAGCGCTAGCGTGCGTCTCAGCACGAGGAAGCGCCGCTCAGCTCAGAAGCGGTGAAGTGAAGGGCGCGGGGGGAAAGAAAGGGGAGCGGAAAAGGTCGTGCGCCTGAAAATGCCCCGCCAAGGAGGAGGATCAAGAGGGACCGGGAACGCGCCCTACGCAGGGCTGGCCCAGCCAGGCTCCGTGCTGGAGATTCATTCGGCGATGTCTGCAGCCTTCAGGAATGGTCGCTTCCAGGCTGTGGTCGTCCTCGCCAAACAAGCCTCCGACAGAGAACCCGGCTTGGTTCAAGTGTTTCGCGTTGGCGCTGAGGTAGCGGATCCCCTCCAGCGTACGTCCGCGCACGGTTTTGAAGTCCACCCTCCCAAACTGCATCCATGTGGGATCCTCCGTGACGGCCTCTGCGGCGCGGCACTGGAGACCGCCAGCCTGCTTCTTGTCCGCCCACTTTCCCGTCAAGTTCAGCTCCTGGAAATAGATGTCCGCGCGCCCCTCGCCGAGCCTCTGTGCCTCCACCTCCACGCGCAGCAGGGAGACCGCGGTGCGCGCGCCCCTCGGGATCTGGACCAAGAGGTGCCTGCCAGCCTGCATGAGGTCGAAACGCCCGCCGAAGATGTTCTGCAAATGCGGGTCGCCGGTGCCCGCGACGGCGCCCATGCTGGCCCCAATGATGACGGGAACAGGCGTGGGAGCAATGGTAACGCCCGCTGTCGAAGCAGCTGCGCACACGGAAGGAGCCGTCAGCGTACGGGCCACAGCGATGACCGGCTCAGTACTCCAGTCAGAAGCAGCCATAGCTTCGTTCGTCTCGGCCAGGGGGCAGGCTGCAACTGAGTCGTACTGCCAGCGTGCAAATATGCACGGCGTCGGAAGCGCCAGGTAGTCAGGAAGAACGACGACCAGGGACAGAAGCTGGGTGATTAAAGCAAGGGCGCGAGACCCCGGACAACTGCGAGAGTACCAGGGTGGCCGCAACCAAGAGGACCGACAGTCGGAGGTCGAATTGATGCCGGGGTGGGCGCAAGCGTCGGCAGGCTGCGAGAACCCAGGGTGGCCGAAGCCGCACAGCCCCACGGCAGCAGAGCTGATGGGGATACTTTTTTTTCACGGCCGCAGGCGAACGCGCCAGCGGCGGGCGAAGTAGGTCGGGCCGCGACCGGCTTAAATTACCGACGGCTAACGCGCGCGACTAGGCGGCCGCGGCGGCGCCGGATGCAGCAAGCAGCAACTGCGGCGAGGGCGAGGCTGATCCCAGGGAGAGCTGAACCCAGGACAGAGCTGCAAGGTGGGTGACCCAGGGAAGCCCAGGGAGCACCAAATTAGCCAAACCTGACACGCGCTGCCAAAATGGCGCGAAATCTGAAGAGGCGCCAGCCAAAGCGTCGCACACCGACAGATCAAGCAATGACCGCTCAAAGGTAGGTAAACCTGCGTCCCAGGAGCAATCATGTGCACCGTGGTCCATGCATAGCATAGCAAGACCTGTGAATACATAGCAATGCAACCGAGCAGGATGGACCACACCCAATGCCAAATATGTACCCAGGGTGCTCGTGCGCAGCCAATGGCGAGAGACACCGGGACAATGAAGGCGGCGCCAGCGGATGCGACGCACGACCAACAGTCATCCGAAGTGCGCCACCTGTGACACCTGTGGACCTGTTGGCGACACCATGAGCCAAGTAAGATAGACCACACCCGACCCTGTCGCGACCGTACAGGACCTAAGCTGCATAAGGCTGCCCGCTGGAAGGCCGGGTCACGGCCACACCCAGGAGAAGCCAGAGTGAATTAGGGTGAAACAAGGGCGGGCGCGCCCGCGGCTTTAGGTGACGACATTCCACTGTTTCTGGTCCTTCCTGGGTGCGCGGCGATCAGCATGGCCCTTCGCCGCCTGGCGCCCCCTTCCCGCGCCGCCACTTCCACCCAGGTACCGAAGCCGCAACTGCGCCCAGTCAACGCCGAGGTCCAGCGCGTCGCCCATGGCCCGCGCGTCGCAGTTATGGCTGCGGAAGGAGGACAGGAAATTGACGCGCGTTTGCTGGTCGTGCCGCCGCGGGTCGAGCGCGCCTTTGCTGCCGGGCATGGCGCGCTGCTGGGCGGACGCGTGCCAGGCGCCTGTGAACCTCGCCCCCAGGGTGACCTGAAGCCGCTTTATCGTCTCGCCAAGTGTCTCCCCGGGGGGGTCCCACTGGATGCCGCCGATCGTCGCTTTATATAGCTGCTGTCCCGTGTCTGGGTCTAAAAGGTTCTGGACAGTGACGCGCGGCGGGGCCCGCTACCAGGGGCGGGGTGGTCAGCGGCAGGTCCTCGGCGCGGCGCCTGCTGCTGCTTCTGCGGCTGCTGCTGCTGCGTCCGCCGCCTGCCGTCTGCCGCCCGCCAGACCCGCCAGCGCGGTCGGCGTCGCCACGGGCCAGGTTTCGGCCCAGGGGCGGCGGGGAGACTGGAAGGTCGCCAGTCACAGAGGCTAGGCAGAGCGTCCACCTGCTGCCACGAAGACGCGCTGGGGGAACGTTCCGGCCGCGCTGCCGCTGTTCCTCGGCGCTCGAGCTCGCGCCATTGCCAGGGAGGGAGGGGCCAGGGCAAGTAGTGTCAGCCAGGGGAGTGTGGCGGTGGGTGGTTGCC